GTTGTTCGACTTCTAATGATGCTGGCACTAAGGCATTAGTTTCGTTTCCAGCCATATCGTACGCGCCCGTTAACTTGAAATTTTCTCCTGTTCTTTGGTCATCGCAACCAATCACTCGCCGATAGTTTTCCGTCCCCATCTGCATTGCTTCATGTTGTTTTGGGTTTTATTTCTTTCTCTTCCATTCGCTGTTATAAATTGTATAGATCAACCCCCATCATCGCACGATGATGTTTCACTGGAGCAGCAGGAGGAACAGGCTCTGGACGAAGTGTTTCTTAACCTTCCGAGTCTTGATCCTGTCTTCCTGTATAATCCACTCGGTTTGCTGCAAAGACATTCCGAAGATGAAGATCATGGCTTCCCGTTTGATCCTTATCCACACCTCGCTTTCGAAACAATCGAGTCCTCGGATTCTGATGATTCGAATCCCTGTCAGAGTTTTCACATAGATGGCGTCGGCTCGTTGGTCAAAGGTAATGAAAGTGAGTAGTTAGTGGCACGATGTCATTCCCGCCATTACGAAATGCAAAAATCGGCCTCTCCAAATGAGTTTTTCTATGTGGTTGAGAGGATTTCTACTGTGGTCGATATCCTGCTGACATTGTTCAAATAATTGAAATACTATGTTACATTTTGTTACTCAGCTCTCAATCGTTCATTGCCTATGAATAATCTTCCTAGCTATTACAATAAAGTCTCATTGAAAAGTGGCAACTGTTAGAAACAAGTTGGTTTTTGTTTTCCGTATTACTGATTTCATTTTTGCCCATTACTTGAACGAGGTCTGCAACTGAGACGCCATCACCTATATTGATTTTCTCCGTCATTGTTTTCACTCTCTTCCGATATTCGATCTCCTTCGTACCATGTTTACCAACATTGAAATTGAGTGTATCAACCGTGAGCAGCCGTCCGTTCTGTTTATTCCCAATGTATGTGAGCCTGTCCCCAGTGGACTTGTGCATTTAGCCAGCTGTCTCTTGAATCGGAGAACGGAACCTTGTGCTGTGGAACCTTGTATTTAAATCCTCGCTAGGGTCGTTGTGGCTCTTTTGCTTTCGATCCGGCTTTGGTGAAAGTCCTTCCCCGTGTTGCCTTTTCAACTTAATATCTGAAACCTACATAGTATCACAGTGGAGTCCGTGGAGTCGCATACGATTGCTCTCCTACACACTTATGTGTGTGCACGGACCACAGGTGATTCATCATCTGATACATCCAAATCGACGTCATTGGCGGGTGTTCCACAGGGCTGTTAATCAATTTCATTAGTGAAGGCAACACAGTTTCCAGCGTTGATACAACTAACACCGTAAACTTAGTGAAAGAATAATATAGTTGATGAAGAAGAAGGTTGTAACTGCGCACAACAAAATGGACACTGTAATATAGCAGCGATGTTTATGCGTTCCAGATGAAAAATCTCCTCGTCTTTATCGTCCTAACGGCCTTTTGTGTCTACCGGATCATCACAGTTTCTGTAGGGTAACCTTCCTTTCGTTTTAGCCTACTGCTGCTGCTTCATATTGAATTTAGCCACAAATAGGAATTGTCTTTTCATAGAAAAAGTCGTGACGAATCACAATAGTCTCGCGAAACTCCCCACCAAATCCTAGAAAAACCCGTGACGAACGTTTCTTCTCGATAATTCATCATCAGATCAATACAAGTATATAAGTTCAACAGAGTTAAAACAGTATGTAAACAATACAAGGAGGTTTAGCAGAGTCTTATTGGATCATGTAAAGCGCTGCAAAGTTTCCAGGAATCTTTAAGCTAGTCATTTAGTTGCCAAATCACCAGTGTTAATGATGAGTGGTTTGGAGTTCCACCTATCGCTACGTCACAGAGTTATCGATTGGAGTTTCGATGGGCATGCAGGCCGATGGCTATACCTTTGGCCATGACTACCTCGGGGCTTGCGCGATTTTTGTATGAACATATAATCGAATAACGATCGATTAAGCGGTAGCCAGCGTCCGTTGTCTGACAACGTTAGGGCGGTTGACTGGATCTCTGTAATCTACACGGAATGCATGAATGAAGTCAAGCCGGTAATCAGTATCGGCTAAGTGTGCAACGACTGCACTGTCGATAGATTTACGTAAACAAGTCCCGAGTGATGCTGGATAGTGCTCTTCGATCCGTTTGGACATAACATATCGTGTGACCTACATATTCTGCTGTCCATGATTGTCTGGTTTCATTTGATAGTTTAGGCTAAACATCTCGTCTCATAACTCTTCCGTTTCTCATCGTAGGGAAAACTTAGACTCCGTCGCTCGTGGCCAAATAACCATGAGTTGTAACGACTCGGCGTCCCACTGCGCGTGCTTAGTTTTGAGTTTCATCTGCGTTTTTCACATTCGTGATAACCCACTTGTTCCCCGTGAACCTTCCAGAAAACGCTGGCAGCGGATAAATCAGCTTGCCACTATGTTTAGGCGCAAGATGTTGAGAGATTATTTGCTTACACGTCAAAAATGGTTACACCACACAATCGTGTACTCTAGGACTCATTGCTAGCGGTGATAAACTGCGTGGTAAATGGTCTGCAGTCCAACCTTGTCAAAGTGGTTTGATACAGATGATATCTGTAAACACTGCCAAGGATATCGTTCATCGGGCTACTAAAACAATAGATCTTTTAGAAGGTGATGTTGAGTGTAGATCTCGCCGGTAGGCAGAGTTGGGAGTTGTGGTTAACAGCTCTGGTTCAGCGAGGTGTTTGGCGCACACGGCTAGCGAACTGGAGTTTTGGTGCAAGTCATGGAAAACAACCTATACGGAACGTGTTACTTGTTCTAACATGCTCTCCATCGCCGTTCCGATTTAAGCGCCTTGTTCCAACGAACATTCAACAGAATAATATGAGAGTTTTCGCATGGGACTCCTTGAAGAATTTCGGCGGGTGGTGTACAGACTTTCTCAGACAAAAGCCAAATTGCTCCTAATCCATTCCCTGTCTAATTAGCTTATTGTTCATACTCCACTCGGCTAGAATATGTTATGTCTATCTACCCTTCATTGACCGCACACTTCTGCCTGCCTTCTGTTCTGCTCGTGACGCATCCATATAAACTCGTTTACTGATCGTTAATTTTGCAGGATTTCTATTGGTTGGTTCTCTCACGTTCTTGGTCGTATCATTGCAGCTTCGTTCGTTTCCATTCTCGACTGTTCGCCTGGTTTCGGTGTCCTGTTGGAACTTACCTGAGGGTTACAACGAATTGAGGTTTTTACTTTTTCCATACATTTATTGTCGTGTCAATAGTACTGTTGTTGATACGATCAGTTTTCGTTTTGTCATCTCGTGGTCATGGAAATCAATCGTTCATCCAGTGAACATTACAATAGTCTGAGTGTTCGGTAAACGATTTAGTATCTCACTGGGAAGCTATTATTCAGCTGTAACCAGGTTTGTTCCTGATAAGCTCACAGCATGCAGCAAAATTTTGAAGGTGAGTCATACTACCAACCTTTCTGTTGTCAACCGAGTTCCTCATTCATTAGACCACCGACTTTCTGAGTATTGCTAGTGACTTTATAACACATCGCAAGCGCATTTGCCGTTGATTATCATGATAATATTTCCATTGATCTGAAGGAAATTGCTCAATATTGCTTCCTTCCGATACAGGTTTGGTGGAATTATCCGACTGTTACATATTGCACCTGGACACGAGGCTTTACGACTTGTGTCTACGTCGACTCCGAGGACTCGGTCCTAAGTTCCTGTATCCCTGGATGACGCATTTACCAAACCATATTCTGTAAGTTTGTTGTATTTTGCGCCTGTGTATATGTGTATTTATGCATCGCTCGACCTCAGGAGTTGATTTGTGCACTTTTACTCCATCACATTTCTTATTTAATCTTCATACGTCGCTACTGCGTTGGTTTTATTTTCTCATCTATCACGGCATCCGAAAACGAAGTACTTCAGACTAACGTCAATCACCATGGTGGTCTATTTCAATGCACACTGCACACATGGATCGCAAGGTAGTCAAGCACCGTTAGTATCGGTTGGCTGGCTCGAATCTGGTGTGATCGGGATACAGCGGTCGCCCCCAACTTGCCATGCTTTATATATGCACTGGCCAAATGTACGTTCATCCAGTTGTTGCTGTTATTTACCACTCCAGTATCGAACAATTACGTGATCTCTACAGAATAGTATTTTTCTATCTAGTCAACACAACACAACTCCGTCAGGTTTGGCACGTTGATCGTCAAAGACACCACAATTTGGCGATCAGTTAGAATATAGAAGGCGAACTAATTAGTTATGATTTTCACACAGGAAGTTGGATAAAACAATACACATGGGCACTTGTGTACTCTGAAGAACCAGTGATTCGGTCCGTGCATGAGCTGCTTTCTGCATAACTGAGTATCTCGTTCATTTTCAGTCCGAAAGAGTACAGTCATCCCGATAAACGATCTCAGCTATATATGCCTACCTCTGCAGTTTGATGACTGTTTAAACGGTTTTCGAGTTATCTCTGAAAATGCTTGCCACACGTTTTTAGAATCACCGGGAAACTAAGATAAAGTGGCGCGCAACCCCACGTTACCTTGCAATGTCTATCCCCTCACCCTTTATCCGCCGTTTGTTCGATATATCCAACCACGATAAAAGCCGTCCCATGGTTTCCCTATACGAACAACACGATTAACAATAATTTCCGAAATGTTAAATATATCACACACACGTCCATTGAACGGACTTTTTATGTCCAGTTACGATATACCCACTCTTTTTTAAACGTATGTTCTTATATTTCTTCCATATGTCTTTCCAGTATCTAATTTCCTGGTTTACAGCTGTACTTTATGACCTCATCTTTGAATGTTTTTCTCTACTTCACGCTGAAAAATTCGCGTTTCCTTACGAGATCTCTATCGGGAAAATACTTTTTTTCATCGCTAACACACCAACGTCGGTGATATGGAAGACAAAATTAAACGATTGTTTTAATTGTGAAAAGTCAGGGCTTCGGCTGGATTCGAACCAGCGACAGAAACACCATACCCAAACGCAGCGAGCTGTGCTACGAAGCCACGACAGGAGCTCTCTAGTTGACGCTTCCCATTATTTGTCCGTCACAACAGTCTTAAGCACCCTTTTGTATATCATTCCAACCCTAGTCAGAAAGCTGGCATGAGTTTCATGAATTAAGTCGGTTTACATTTACTAACCGTTTGTAACTATTCCCATCCTCTAGCTTGATATTGAGCCTGTGACTATCTTTGACAGTTTGCACGGAGGAGCTTGGCGGAACATAGTGTTGTAGTTGACATAATTGCATGAGTTTTTTGGAACTTCATTGCGTAAACTCGTTTATAGAGCTTGAATCCATTACGAAATCAGGTTATGGGGTAAAATGACTAATGTGAAGAGTTCTAACTTTTCATTACTCTAAACTCGTCTTCCATTCCTCTAATAGAAGATAATCTTCTTCTTTACCTGTTATGACAGAGCTGATTGGTTTCGATATTTATTATTCAGATAAACGTGTATTGTGGCAGTGTGATTCGCGAATGCTGCGAGGCCGTTCTCACAGACATCAGTGGCGACCCTTGGCTAGTGGATTTCTATCCAGTGCATTTTTCACTGGCGATAGTGGAAGAGAGCGCTTTGCTTGCCGAGTAAACTCTTACTTTATCGGGTAAACGGGTCGGTTACCTCAACGTCACTGAGGCGCGTCCCAGGCTGCGGATTGGGGAACGGCCTTCCACGTGAGGGCTAACTGCGAAATAAGCGAGGTTCTCCCGGCGAGTGAGCAGTCGCGAATAAGGGGGTGGTAGTACTACTAGAACGTGGTGGATTCACGGTTGGTAGCCGCGTCTCCTATAAAATGCCATAAGCGCTTTGATCATACTACATCATCGCGTATCTTATCCCGCTACAAAAGGGTTTCAGATGCCCCAACGGGAGCACATAGGCTCCCGCACAATGCGTCATCTCTCTGGAATGATGACCTTATGGCCTACTGACATCTCCAGTCTCTGTCAACCATAGAAAACCTCCGAAGAAGGTGTACGGATTACCTCGGCGAAAACAGGCTTCATTGGGTACGCAAAGTGTGCCGGGTACCTTGAATGGCTGGACTTCATTCGAAGGACGTACGAACTAATTAGGTCATCGGCAAAAGGAGGCATGCGTCTCAACAGCCCTGTCGATTTTGGACTCCCTGGTTGGATAGTTGTACTACATCAGAACCGCCTTCGTTGGTGAATAATCGAAATACCGCGCTACTT